TACTTACGTACATAAAATGGAAAAGAATTTATGATATAATACAACTTTGTGATTCACTTAGTGTTTCTCGCATCTGTTATTGTGAAGCGCGGTGTTGTCTTAATGCTCGTTTTCGTTTTGATAGTTTATAAATGTTCAGATATTTTAATAAGAAGGCTGTTGTTTTTTTATTTTAGTTTTTGATCATCTATACTAAAATCAGAGTTAACACTTTCTCTGACGACAGCGACAGTTGAGGTTTTTAAAACCCCATTGACTTCTGTATCGTCTTCTGAATCATTAAACAATCTCATAGTATTAAACATTCCAGTTCTTTTGCTCGTTCACGCAACAAGATACAACGAGATTGATGGGACTCTGCCAAAGTACTGTCGCCGACCATTTTCATGATAATTATCATCAAAAATATACATTTTGCGATAAGTGTAGCACCCATTTTTAGTAGACAATATGACGATGCTAAAGAATGAGATTCTAAGCCAATAAAAAACTGAAAGAATAAAGATGGAACATATCGTTGTTGTGGGATCCAATCTTTGGAATATGAATTCGGATTAAAATTCTTGATATTCAACCCAAATAAATCCAAATCAGAATTTATTTGTCTAAGTTTCTCCATATTACTTATTTCATTGGCTTTTTCCGGATACGAACATTTACAATCACCAAACGGCAAGAATAATTAGCACACAGTTAGATAAAAACAGACGAACAGGTAGCGTTCTTACTTTTTTTTGGTTCTTGTTTTTGTAAAATATTAATTGATACTTGATCATTCATTATAGAAGTATAATGAAGTCGAGTACGATTTAAATTATCTTTTAAGTTGAACATCATGCTGCGATTATTACCTGTATATCTAAACAATTCAACGAACTTGAGATAAAGTAATTGTTATCACTTTTGCAAAATTCACCTAATGATAATTTTATATAAACACTTACTAAAGTATCGTATGTCGTTTGCACAGTACAGCTAAATGAGCGATTGTTCTAACACTCCAATTTTCCGAATAATATATGCTATCTTTGAGAGCGAATAGATCTTGTATTCTGATTAAATCATCCATTTGAACTACTTGTCTCAAATCTGTTATCATTGCTGATAAAACCGTATGGCAGTATTGTGTTTAAACATTTCATTCAACAACATTCTTTAAATTCAAAGATTTCGCTCGTTGTAATAGTGTTTCGCTATTTTATCAACTATTTCGAATGAACAATAAATGATAACTAAATTCAGCAATTATTAATTTTTCAATAATCAATTTTTCTTTCATTGAGTGTCTTTCACTCACTTTTAATTCATCACGTCATGATGCAGAGTAGAAATGTGCACGAGTACCGTTTTCGTATCTTTATCCAATCCGGAAATTTTTTTCTATTTGTACCCGACCCGTACCCGACTTATGCCTAAAAATTTTCTTCTTTTCGTTTTCCAGCTAAAAACTTTTGTTTTTCGGCTGAAGATAACAAATTATTATGACGTTCTCAAATAATTGTTTTTTAAAACTTCATGTATTTTAGCTAAAATCTTGTATTTTTCCACTAAAATTTTGTAGTTTTCGGGTAAATACAAAAAAACGGAATCCGTACTTGCTCTACTCGTACCCAACTCATACCCGACAACTTCGTACCCGTATCTAACCTTCGAGTCGGGTCGGGTTGCACATCTCTAATGCAGAGATTTGTCCAATTTCATCGATAATTTTGTTCAACTATATTCGTTTCGATCAGCTAATAGCATCTGATATCGACGAATAGTATCGTTGAAATAAGAAACATTCTGAATTGAATGATTGTCATTGCAAACTAGATGTATTAGAAAAAATTCGCAAATAACATCTGATATGATAATTTTATTACCTTTCATAATTCTTTCAGCCACTCTGTTTTATCTATGAAACTGTTCTAAAGGGAGATTCAATCGATACAATTTCAATGTTGAATGCTTTGTTAGAGTTAGTAGAGAATCGCATATATTCATCGTAATAAACTGAAATTGATATTTATAAACCAGATGATTAAAGTCTTTCGATAATATAGAATAAATAAATTAATTTGTAATTTGATACTCAGATAAAAAATTAATTATTTGAACATTTTTTAATCCTTGCGCTTTTTCCAATAATGTGGTTTTAACTTGTAATATGTCTATAATCAACTTTTATGAAATCTAAATATATAAATCAGTATTACCTCAAGACTATTTGCAGGACGGATTAAATACTCGTATCTTTGATAAATCTTTCAGCCACTTTAAAATTGTTTTCTTCAATAGCTATCCATATTAGTTGACTGTATCCTTCATGGAGAGCGAATAATTGTGGATTATCTTCCAAATAATAGTCTGCAATTTTTTGTTCCTTGTTTTTCATGTGTGAATCGACACCAATACGAAATGACGCCTAAAAAAATGGACTGAAATAGTACACAATGACGTTAATAAAGCTGTGTATATACATCTCCTCTAACATCTAAATGGTCGCAAATAATATCTTGTGAAGAAGGGCATTCCCGAAGACATTTGTTACATTTGGATTTGTACTAGTATTACTCACAACATAGATCATACGATATTTATACCCTAATATAAATAAAACAAAATTATTAGAAGAAGTAATATAATTAGAAGTCGTATTAACTTTACTGATCTATTGGATCATATTGTTCAACAATCAAATGTAAAATAAGAACGATTTTTAGAATAAGTTAATTGAGCCAATTCTGATTGTTCATAAAGATATGATATTAGCTGTGTTTATCTCTCTTCGTCGTAAGATTTTTTTAGAATTTTGTATAGTTTATCATCAAGAGAATCTTTAGTTATGTTAGTACAGTTTTATTCAAAACACATATCAAATAGATTAAATTTCCTTAATCTCAACCTTAGTAAGAAACCTATACAGGATCTTGCGAGGAAAGATTGGTTCCCAAGTGTTACTCTCACTTTTCAATGGAACATATCCTAAATTGTAAAGCTCTACCAGCTGATTACGATGGCATAAAGCATTTTCCCTCATGACTCTTGAAGACCCAGTGTTCTGGAAAACCAGTTTTTCAGAAACTCTAAAAAATAACCAAAACCTTTCTTAACGAGACATAATTGTAGCGCGCACATTTCTGATTAAAATGAGATATCTCCTTACACGACCTTTCTTGGCAAAGTTATAGATCTTACATGAAAAGCCCTAAATTAATTTCTTATTTCTGTAGCTTTGAGCTGATAATGACCATTTAGGGCTTTTCATGTAAGATCTATAACTTAGCCAAGAACGTCGTGTAGAGGGATATCTCATTTTAATCAGAAATGTGCGCGCTACAAATATGTCTCGTTAAATCTACAATTTAGGATATGTCCCATTGAAAAGTGAGAGTAACACTTGGGGACCTTCCCTCGTTAGAGAAATCCAACCAGGATTCTTTCAGGAATTAGCTTACTTTAGATAGGAATCTAACAAAAAACTTATAGAATCTTACCCGAAAGTCGTAGAATTCCGTTAGAATCTGGATAGCATCCTAACAAGAGAATGGAATGACTAAAGCATAATACATCCTACCCACTTCTTACAGACTTCTTACTAGAATTCTAACTTTAAGATCCTACCGGATCCTAGTAGGAAATAGACAGGAAATGCGTAGGATTTTGTCTAGGGAAAAGGATTAAAATATCGCGAAGCTTCTTACTATGGCTTTAACTTCCTTCTCTACGAATAAAATAAATACAGCTCCTTTCTGCATTTTGCACTCAACTTTGATGAGATGTTTCATCATACTTCATATAATCTTTTCTTGAAAATCAAACAGAATATTTTTATGTGATTCACAAAAAACGTTTTCTTACGAATAGTTCGTTCCTAGAGTTCGAGTCAGAACGTTTTAACAAAATAAAGAGAAGAAAGTATTTCTTCCTTTTATTCTTGTAGAAAGAGGGACGAGCGACGTGTTCTTAAAATTGAGTTTCGACACAAAAATTATTTTTCCCTATGTTTGATGAACTGCCAGTATAGTTTCAAGAAAACTTGTGAATTTAGTTATACACGTATAGATAATAACACATAAAATGCTTGCAAAGACTTATTTATAGCTCATTTTAAAGCCCGAAAAATTCTCTATCTTTTCATATATAAAACATTCCGGTTCTGAGTAGATGAGTTTAAGAAATATTCCTTTAAAGTGCTAAGATAGGTGGAAATCATGATATCTTTCTAGTATTTCGACAATTTTTCTGTATGGGCAGATTTTTGAAAACCTCGTTTACAGCTTATTTTGAAGCCCAGAAAATTCTCTATGTTACTATGTATGAGCTTTGCTCAAGGACTTTGAAATCGGACGATAAATTTGCGGAAAAAGGTAAATGGCTTTTGTTGAACTGGTGGCGAAAAATGAAAAGTAATTTTTGTTTGAAAGACATCAGAAGAAATTTTTGAACGTGGGAAATGTTGAGAAGTGAAAAGAGAAGCATTTCCGATCATTTTCACTCAAAATCATATTGGACCATTTTCTAGCAGAAACCGTTCCTCGTCCTTTAACTATTACAAATATTCAGGGCAGTATTATCTTGAGTAGGGGGATATTACTATCAAGCGCACTCCTTAAGTGCTTAGCCTTATGCAGTTACTTGAGCCAGTCCGGGAAGCACTTGTAGGAATATTCACCTGTGTAAGGAACAAAAAAAGAAAAATTTTTTTTTGTAGAAAGTAACTTTCGGTCAAAACGGTATAACTGATTTAACTTTTCAGACCCGGTTGATTATCGACTGTTGAGAATTATTTTTACACTTTTTTTGCCACTTTACTTGAAGAATCAGAGATAATAGAATCTGTCAATGCATTGACGATGTAGTAATAAAAAGTTTTTTTTCAAACTCAATTCAAGGCGTTAATTTCTTATTAGTAACATGATAGTCGAAAACGAAGAACATTGAACTTGAATGTTATTTTTATTGATTAGTCATACTTTATTTATTTACTTATTGAAATGGCTATAGTGGTGGTGTTTTTAATATTCATGTTTGCTATTGTCACTTTTCATGTGATCTCGAACATATTTTATTTGTTCGCCATTCAGTTTAAACTGTGACACTTCATTTTCGAAGTTTTCTATTATACCATAGCCAGACAAATATCCATTTAATTTTGTTGGCACATGAGACGTAATTTCTTGTTCATCTGTCAAATGTAAACTTTGGAAAAATGATGGATGTTTACTACGCAAATGATATTTCTGATGATAATCCTCAGCCAAATAAAATTTATCGTAAGGTATTATTTCAGTAACAATGGGTCGTTTAAATAGTTTTTGACGTTCGTTCCTTGTTTGTTCAGCTAAACGCTTTTGTTCTTCATCATGATAGAAAATAGCTGACATATACTGACGTTGATGAAACGATGTAGCATCATGCCATTGCCAAAACAAATCAAGTAAAGTCTATTAAAATGTAAGACATATACATTTCTCCTACGCTTCCTAGCAATCTCATACCTTATAGTCAATAATTTCAGAATTATAATCGATTTGAACACTTTCGATATGATCACCTAAATGATGATACGTTGGATCTGGCGTTGGACCACCTGTGTATCCCACACGAACACGAACAACGCCGGGTATAGCGCCAAATCGTGCATCAGGTGACCAAAAACAGCCAAGAGAAAAAGTGGCTGTTTTTGTCCTTATATTAGGTTCATGAATAATTGACATAATTCTAAAAAAATGTTTAAGCGTGTATCACCACTAATATCGACTATGCCGTAGAAAAAGCGAGTATTCTGAGGAGAAAAGGAGGTTACATAGCAGTCTTCAGATTTAAACAGACTGTTAAGATTTAATTTACATACCTTAGTTCTAATTGAGAACAGTTTTCCGGCATTTATACTTTACTTTGATTTCTTTCACTCTCTATGCAACCATTTATGTGCTAACTCAACCATTTCACCAACTTTAGGGTATACTTTGAAAATGAGATCAGTTATTGGAGAGTATGTATGCAAACAAATATATATCTCTTTCCCTATGTTGTCCAACAAAAGACGAAAAAAACGCACAGGTTTTCATCATACAAAAAAAAAGAAAGTATTGTTCTCAAACAACATTAACAACAAACAACAATATATGAATATATGCTAAAGTATAAAAAAATCGGAAGAAAAGAAAGAAAGCAAAAACAATCACACAATAGAGCAACACAGGTTACATTTCATTTACTGACCGTTACGGTTAACCTCTTCTACCTTCTGCCGTGACATTAGTGGCTTGTGATTTTTTCGTTGCTCGTTGTTCGACAGCTGATTCTGAATCAAATTTATCAGAATCATTGTGATCTACATCAGTTTCGTTATCCAAAATTGGACGTCGATTACTTGCTGAAACACCAGTTTTTTGAGCAGTAGGAATTGGCGAAGTTGTACTAGGACGAAAGCCTGGTGGTGTGGACATTGATGTTTGTCCGATCCCCTTACTAAATGACTGATTCAGTGGATTACGCTGTGTTTGGTCTTGTTCACTTGTATCAGTTTGCGATGGTTGTCGAAAGCCACTTCTACCTGTTTGAAACGTTGAGTTTAAACGTTGACTCATTCCCGTACCCATCCGTCTTTCTCTATTATCATCATCGAATCGTTGTTCACGCTCGAAATATTGTCGTTGAGGTGGTCCACGATTGTAATTGTCTCTTATATCTCGTTTATAACCTTCGCCTGTAATAAAGAACAGAAAACCATAACATGGAAACCAGACAATCGATTCAAATTGGTTGCATTTACGGGAGCACAATCAAGGATGTAAGTAAGACAGCAAAGCACTCTGATTTTCCACTTACTTCCACTAGTCATTTTATACTCCTGTTGTCGTTGAAATCCAGAACCTCCACTTCCAAATTCTTGTCGTGGCTCATAACCTCGATTAAATCCAAATCCGCGTTGTTGGTTTTGTTGTTCAAATCCAGTTCTCTGATTATTATTCCATTGTGTTTGTCGATCAAATCCTCTTTGCTGGCCATACCCTGAGCCAAAGTGTTCTTGTCTTTGTTGATAACCTCTACCAAAGTTGTACGATCCTTGTCCAAACTGCTGTCTTTGTTGTGATTGTTGAGGAAACATTTGTAATCGGTTAAATGCGAAACGACGTTGCATAGGCTCATTAATATATTCGGGAAAATCAACTTGACTCAAACGTTGATTCGATAAAATAAATTTCGACAAATCTTCAAATTTACTCATCAGATCGGGATTTTTCGCTTTCTCTGCTGCTAAACGTATATGACGCATCTAGGAAGAAATTAAACGATAAACTTAACATATTTTATACTTAGAGAAAATAATACAAAAAACTTATACCGTTAATGGAAATATCCTACGACGATCATCCGGTCCTGCCATTGCTGCTGGTTTTGAAGCAATGACTTGAACGAGATTTATTGCTTCTTCGACTCGACCCAAATCAGCGAGACATATAGCCTGTAACAAATGAACCAATACTAAGTCCATATGATAGTAACTTTGCAGATACATACTCGAACATTTTGATTTGTTGACACAAATTGTTGTTTCATCGAACTAATGATTTCCATAGCAAAATCAGGTTCGCCCTATCAAACACAAGAAAGAGACACTACATCTACTATCCATACTCAATATTTAAACACTTACTTGCTGAATAGCTAGTAAAGCTATCATGGATATTGTTCGAGCATTCAAATCTGCATCGCGACCAGAAATTTTATTCAATAAATCTTTTACTTTTACTAACGAATCTTTAGTGTTCTAAAACAGAAAGAAAAATATAAATTTCTACATTATTTTTAGAAATTTAGTTCATTGTACTTGTCTGTAGAGTGCTTCAACGGCTAACATAACAACATCTCTTGGAAATGTTTTTCCCGATTGTGTAGTAAATCCTCGTTTAATACCGTGTTCAAATACTCTAATACAATCTTCAAATCGTTTTTCTTCAACTAATTTATTCATTAACACAAGAGCAGATGCCGAATCTTTAAATATTTCGTCTAAATTCTGAATGAAAAATAGAGAGAAGTCGTTAAAAATTCATTTATAAAAGTAAATTTTATAAACTCTTACTTTATCCATATAAAGTTGTATGGCCTTATCAGTTTTATTATGAATATAGAGTAAACGCATTACAGGTGAACCAAACGAATAATCGCTGAACGACTGCTTGCTAGAATTGTATCTTAAATAAGGAAGAAATCTTAACAAACATGAACAAAAAAAACCTGAAAAGTAGATGTTTGTAATTTAACATCTTTTCCTTGAATCAAGAACTAAAGAAAAAAAATCTATCAGAAAGACTTTTCTGATTTATCAGAACAATGTATTCTGTTGTTATCGTCAATTACCAATAAAAGATGCTAAAATTGTTTTCTATTTAACATCCTTTGTTATTGCACCACAGGTAACTACAGAGCATAATAAACTCCCAAGAAATTCTCTCTTTTGTTCTGATACATATGTATCTTTCTTACTTTCTTAGTGCTTGAATAACAGCATCAATCTCATCGTCTGTACTTGCTGCCAAGACCATATTTCGAAGATCTTCAGTGAATATTTTTGCTTCTGGATTTTGGATGGATTCCATAAAACGTTTTTTAAATCCTTCTACAAAAGAAAAATATTTATAGAATTGAGAAAGAAGCAGACGAATAACAGATACTTACCAATCGATGGTGCATAATATGCTACATGTGTTTCTCTACTATGCTTAAAATTATCGACACCAATACCAGCACTTGTAAATACGGTTCGAACAGAATTATTATATAATAGACAAATACTTTTGCATGATGTACCTAGAAAGAACACACAAATAGTTTCATAACAGAAAAAAAAGACAAAAAAACAACTACTTACGATTGACAGCTAAAACTGCACTTGAAACAACTTTGCGAATAATATCAGCCATCTAAAAAAAGAAGTTATAATTAAGCGTTGTAACATCTCAAGTTAGCTATTCATTGAATAAATGGTATCGAGAACAAAATTCTTTTATCTGTATACTTCAATCTCATTGATCATAGAAAAAGGACGGTACAAAAAATCTATCACATATTGAAAAACAATGAGTATAAATTTTAATTATTTACATTGTACAAATAAAGTAGAAACGCAAAATAAACAAAACAGACATATGAACTCAAAAAGACGATATTGAAAGATGAAATCTTTCGAGTTTGATATTTAAGATCATACAGACTGTTTCCTTTTCAAAGTAAATAGTTAATTTCAATGTATTGTTTTCCCATGTTATAAACCGTTAGAAAACTAATACATTTCTCCCATTATGAAGTCCTTTTGTGAAGAAAAAGTAAATTTTCCATAATTGTTACTGAGAGCCTTAAATTCATTTAATTGGTTACTTCCTTTCATGTGGGACTATATCTTTCTTAAAAGTGTACAAGTCTTTGATATTTTAACTAAGTAGAAAGGCCTTCTTACATAGACAGGCACCCTATTAAAGTCTAAAAAAATATTCGTATCTCATTCTCCTTCTCTTCTACAGACATAGAACAGAAGTAACATCAATAGGCAAATTTTTTAGCTAATGCAAATGATAGTTTTTGATCATATCAAATTTAACTCATCGCCAAATATCGTTATTTTTGTTCTAATATTCTAACTGATGGTAAAATGTGTACTTCTGTAGTGTCAAAATATTATCTTATTTCAGGAGTAATTGCAATAGGATTGTGCCGATTTTTGTAAGCTTTAATAATGAGATTTATATCATTGAATAAACTATATGCTAGCGGTAATCCAACAGGTAAAAATAGAGGTATATAAATAGCGAATTTTTGATCATCTGGAAAATATAATAATTTTAATAAACTTTGATCAAAAAATACTTGATCAGCCAGTAGTCGTCCTGATTGACAATATCCATGAGCTTCATCTATTAAATCATTATTTGATGATAATAATTTCTCTTCACATAATTTTAATAATTTAACCGACTGTTCTATTTTTTGTGCAATGTCTAAAGTAATAACGATATTTTGAATCGATTGTAATAATTCGGATAATGTTAATAACGTTTTTCGACCAACAGAGAAATTTTCAACAGAACGTTTGAATAACCAATCATTTATATTGCCATCGTCTGCACGTTCGTTTTTTGGTGGTATTAAACCTGGAAAAGAAAGAAAAACACAAATATTGTATTAATATCGCAAACAATTGTAAAAGAAGGTACGTAAAAAAAAGAATACGGTGTAAATGTGAAATTTATCCTTGTTTTATTTTATCTTATCTCATTTCAAATTTGTCAAGTTTCTAGTGTAGAAAGAGAATAAGAAACTGAATAATTCGTAAAAAGAATTAAACTAACCTAATAATTCTTGTAATTGCAGCAAAAATATATTCATGACTTGATGTAAGTATTTATTTTCAACTTCTTCATCAGTGTTACTTTGTTTATTGAAGAAAACGATTCCTCCCCATTTTGGTGTCAGAAATGAGTGTAATATTTGATTAACTGTTGTCTGATCGCCAATTCTAATCGGTGTCTCTTTCTTATTAGGCATATATAAAATAAAATAGATCTTTTGACGATACTGCTCAATAGCACCTCGTTGCAAATATCCTTCTAATTGATTGATAAAAAATGGAAGTTGTTTCGAATGGATTGTATGATGTTTATCGATGATTTGACCAGGCAAGTTTTTTGTGTAATAAATGACTTGAGTTGAAATATCAATATCAATTGATGATTGACGAAAGTATTCTTGAACATACGGGACGATTGTTGAATTAATTTTTGATTGAAATTTTGATACATCTAAATTAGAGATAAAAAAAGATGCAAAATCAAACAAGTTTTCATATCTTCTCCACAAGTTCACGCTATAAAAGCAGTTACTATCAAAAGGTAACTTTGTTATCTCTACTAGCTTCTCATTATTCTCTTTTTTATTTTTCTACAATCTCTCTTACCTAGATTATATTCTGTGTTTGTATATTCGTTATTAATGAGACAGAACGATAATTCATAGCGTGAGGATGTTTGAAATGACGTCAATTGTTCGGTGAAACCCAATTTTTCATTAATTAATGTAAGATTAGCATCGATAGAATTTGAACATGAAGAATATGTACCAATATATAAGTGGTTACTATCTTCTACGCATTGCTCAGGGCGATGAATTATTGCATCAAGTTTAATTTCGATGGATGATGTTGACGGAATGCGAAATGAATGTTGTTTTAATTCATGAATAAATTCGTCATTAATTGATGGATGAATATAGAAATGAAATGAACGCTTTAAAACTATTTGCTCTTGAGATAATTGTGCGATTTCTTTGTCAGGCAATGAGGCACGATATGTTGATGTTGTCACGAACCAAATTGGAAAACCAATACAAATGAATAATAAACTATACAATAGACTACTTACAGTTAAATAACGTTTTTCACCGGGCAAAGCGGCATCTAGTTGACGTAACATCTAAAACATGACCATATTCAATAATAAATTATAAATCCTCTAAAAGAACGGCCTTATAAGTGCAAGATTTCTGAGCAATAAGAATCTTCTTACCCTTTTGAAGAAAAAAGTACCTATAAAATGTAAACCTGAAAAGAGTTGTATTGCAGTGGTCACGGTGAAAACAAAAGTCTTTTTTCAGAAAACAGAAATTTTGCGATCACCTGTTCATTTTTGATTCTGTATTGCCCTTAAAACAAGACAAAGTGCATAAAGAAGAGCGTGCTAAGTGAACAAGATAAGCGTCGAGACCAGGTGTTTTCAATAAGAATCTGAAACAAAGTGCTTATTTACACTTTTTTCTTGAACGTGTAACCTTAATTTACATTTCTTTTAGATTTTGTACTAAAACTAAAGTGTGCAGAATGTACAAAGGTCAAAAAAGAAATAGTTAACGGAAAAGTTTTAAAGGTTGTGAAAGAATTATTTTTTTCCTAGTCATTTCTTAGCAACACGAAGATGAAAGCAGTCTAGCAGAAGCTCTGGTGCTTCTTTACCACAACTACCACCACTGTAGGTACCATACTATTATAAGGGAGATTACTGATCTGCAAAACAACCGAAGTTCTGATTCTCGTGCACCCTGGTAACAAATGCAATCCTTACATCCGGGTAGCTGCCTCTTCTCCAGTTGTTCTTACGATTTCATATAATTAGATCTTGGCATACGAAAGAAAACTATACGAGCTATGGTCGAAACTGTATAAATAATAAACCATGGTACAAGTAAAACGATAAAAAGCAGCAAATCTTGTTTATACTCAAAGTGACCAATAAGCAAGCAGGCAGCTTATTGATCATGAACGACAAGTAATGATTATATATCTTAAGAAAGAAGCGCTGCTCTGTCTGCGAAAGCGATAGCTGGATCAATCTTTAAATTCTTTGCGTTTTCCGATCATGAGCCAATAGATGGCGTAAGAGTCCAATCAGATACAACTTTTTTTTCTCTATACTACAGTTATATAGTGGAACAGAGAAGCAAGTGCTTGTCTTTATAATTCAAAAACCTAAGGTATCAATGTGAAACTAACTAACAACTCCAAGCATTGGCAAATTACTTAACCGCCTCAAAACCATCGCCTTCCAGTAAAAATATTTTTTCAGTTTGAATCGTGTTAGCACCCAAGTCGAAAAAGTAAAATCTATAAACATAAAAGGAGACACACCTAATTAGACTAACTTTGCAAAAGCACCAGAATAGCTCTCGCAGGAGCTGTCGCTTTTGTAATCTGTATAATACATACTTTTGAATGATTGTCCAGAAAAGAGTAGCACCGAAAAAATCAAAAGTGTATATTCGTCATTGGCAAAGGCTAGAAATCAGCACATCTCATTTCGTCACACATCTGTCAATGTTGAGCAAAGAGGAATATTAAAACAGCATATAGTTTTTCAACTGATAATAAAACCGAAAAGAAGTGAAAACAAAAAAACAACATCTTTCGTTTTAAACAAAACCATCATCTCATGTCTATTTACAAAGGGAAAATAATTTAAATAAAAAAACTCGGCGAATTGTTAATTTGTTGCCGTATGACTATTTAATTCTTGTCTAGCACTTCGCCATTTTTGAATTAAATTTGTTGGCAAACCTTTCGAAGTATCTTTCTTCTTCTGAAACGAGAAAGCAAGAATAAGGAGTAGAAAAAAAACGTTTAGATTTCAATGATCGTCTGTTCTCTTACCACTTTCTTTTCTTTATCATTGTGCAAATGTTTAAGAGTATTGACTGTTTTTGTTTCGATGTTCGTGGTCAATTTTACTTCGGAATCAGATGAGGACGGTTGAATATATATCAGACCTGGAGATGACAGAGCGATCTAAAGAGAATGCACCCACTATATTATGGTATACTATATGAAAAGATTGAGATTTTATACACCAGCTAATCTAACAGGTGGTCCATAAAGATTGATCCTCTCAGTATTTTTCCTTTATCTCTTGATACTTCAGTCCCTTAGAGTTAGTTCTTGTTTTAAAAAGATGCGCTGTTCAATTCTCTATGAGATCGTATATAAATAGTCTGATAAAGACCAAACCTCCAGTTTATCTCGAAAAAAACAGAAGTCTTACAGAAGCCTTAACTTTGTAATATAAAGTCTTTTTTCAAATAGGAAGCCGGATTTTCTGTTTGAATGAATTCTAAATAGGGTAAAATGTAGCTCTCGAAAAACTCTATCAATGGACTGATACGAGTCATTACTTTTGGCTTTTTAGTGCAGGATTGACGAAATGGTATAATTCCACTTTTTACCATTTTCGGGCACGCAGTTTGGCACTTTCTAGTAAAATCACTATAAGCCAGTCAAAACTGAACCAAATAAGCTCATTATTCCGTCCTTTTGTACAGAAATCTGATGATCTGTGTCAGAATAATGAGGAAAGAACTCATTATGTCGCTCATCAAAATTATCGATGCTCTCCTTCGAAAATTTTCACGATTTGGTACGTAAAATTATTAATTAAAGGTTTATGCTCCGAAAGTCAACGGAAATAGATTGAGTTTGATTCCATTGGAAAAATCACACTTGATAGTACAAGGTAATATCCAAGTCCTACGACCATTAGCATGGTTTTTGCTGTAGACCGAGTTCATTAAAAGAACTTTTACAAAGTTGAGACTTCTGGACGACTTTTGCTTTTTTCGAAAAAAACTGAGACTTAGGTCTACGATGTTATACAGAATTGAACGACGCATCTTTTAAGAAAAGACTTAACTCTAAGAGACTGAAGTATCAAAAGATAAAGTAAAAATACTGAGAGGGTCATTCTTTATGGACCACCCGTTATCTAAAATCATCATCTTTCATCTTCAGTATAAATACTTTGTTAATCTTACAAAAACTGACATACTCGAGATGTATCTCCATCAATTATTTTTTTATCACAGTCTAATTGTGCAATATTTTCATAAAACATCTGTAATGCATCATCTTCCGCATCATTATTACACGGTGCTTGTTCAGCAGGTGGTGGAGGTGGTGGTAAAGATAAATAGATGGTTGGATCATTATTTACACTAATATTCGTCTCGCTAACTACTTTTTGTACAGAAGAATACGATTTGTCATCACTGAAATCAGAATTATTTTCGAACAAAGAACAAATGCCAGATATAAATCTGACCTAGACCAAACTAATTTTGTTCCATCTGTTCCAGACACATTTTCATATTCGTTTAATTGTTCATTAGCTAATTCTAATTTTTGACAAAAATAAGACTTTTTCAACACTCCAGCTAACACATCTTCAAAACGAACCTAAAAATAGCTTGTAAGATTAGTTTCAGGCGTTTAAAAACAAGACGAATGAAATAGGGAGACATAGAGAGCGAAGATAAACAAATGGAAAAATGCGTGAAGTGGAAGCATTCGCATTTGAGTCAGAGACCTCTTCTCGATTGTAGCTTACTGCTGAATAACGAGGCTATCCATTTATAATTTAAGCGGCTTTGTCTTAACAGGTTACTGTCAACAATTTTGAACATATTTATTGTTATAAATTTCTTCTCAAAAGATCAGGTGTTTTTTCCTGCGACTGACTAGTGATCAACGGAAAAATAGTAGGCATAAGTCAATGGTCATATCCTTTGAAACTAGGTGAATGACATGCACAGACAGGAAAAAGCCCAGTTCTGGCTTACAGAACTTGTTCAAAAATCAGCATGAAGTTTTTACTTCTAATTGTATTCGACTGTTAGTAATATTATTTTTCTTTTCAATAATATCACAGATTGTCTCTAAAGCACGCAGTTTTTCTAGCACGGTTCTACACTGAATTTGCATTGTTCTGTCGGTATTCTAAAATAAACTAAAAAAAGTTATAAACAGTGTCATAAAGGATCCTAAATCCATTACTTTCAATTCTAAAGTTTGTTCAAGCATTCCTTCAACAAACTGATCATCAACTGTTTCATTATCATCCTCAGAATTCATCGACTGCTCATCATCTGAATCGTATGATGCCACAATCAATGATCTTTTAACTTTCTTTATTTCTTGTTTTGTGAAATTGTCAACCGACTGACGCTTTTTCGATAATTTCATCAATGTTGGTTTGTTCAAGTTTGCAGACTCTAAATACAAACACAAACACAAACAGGATTAACCTTTTCTCAAGCTATGAATGAATGAAAAGAAAGAAGTTACAGGTTTCATCCTTTTCGTAGTGATGCATCTTCAAACTATTTTTTATCCATAACCTTCTAACATAACCGTAAAATAGCTAGGTATTCGTTCTTAGCTAGAATATAATAATTTGCAAACCTACTTTGCTTCTTGTCTGTTGGAAGTGTATCTGGTCCATAAACAAGCTGCTCTTCATCATTATCGTCATCTTTGGTTTCTCTGAATAAGTATGAAATGATATCATAGTAAAGTTTATAGAAAATAAAAATATTTACTTAATTTCTTCGTCTTTTTCTTCACTCTGGATTACTTTCTCTGTAATATTTTTTGAAAATATTTCATTAACTTGTGTTAACATCATTTGTTGATAATTATAAAACGGAGAATCCCATGTACATTCATTTGTATCCTTATTCCAATAATAGTATAAACCAGAAGATTTATCAAAACATTGTTGCCACTGTTGATAATAAGATGCTAACATTGCTGAATCTCCATTTTGAATATTGTTAATGTAATTATCTTCATCAGTAGAATTATTTATTTGTTGTGGTATAGGTGAAATTGATGGTAGACACAAATTATCAGTTGTGATAATCGACGTTTCGGATGTTTTCTTTAACGGAGAATTGGTTGTTACCAGGCCGATTTGTTCAATCTCCTTGAAATATAAAAAGAAAAGATTGCATAATTATGTCAAGGTATTTAACACTGCACTTGAAATTTCTGAAAATAATTACACTACAGTCACTTCTCCTGGAATGCATTCTCTTAGAATGTAAAATGACTGTGTATACATACCGCCATAAAATCGGCTATTTTGGAATCAATATCATCTTCTGGAAGTTTAACAGATTGTATCTGTTTTTCATTGTTATCATTGATGTGGTTACTGTCTGAGATTGTGGAATTGTCAATAACAGTCGCACTGCTATCTTTTTCCATTAAGGTATCTAAAAATAAACAGTAAAAATAACAAACCTAATCGTTTATTTCTCTTTATAGAGTTATCAGTTTCTAAGTCGACAGACGTTACTCTTTTTTTTCTTGGAATTATCAACGAAAGCAAGTGAACACAACTGTTCGGTGTTTGCATAGTTCTAAAAGACTGAGAGGCACCTCCACTAGCTGCAAACACTTGAACTCGGTAAATCAACTTTGTTAAAAGTACCATAATCCCTAAAAAAATTCCATAAACAATATATTTTCTTGTACCCGTTATTATTGTTTCCATGTTTAAATCCATTAAAAGACCAAATGCCACATTGATTTTTAATCACATGAATTATTTCTAAATGAAGTCGAAAAATAGGAAAAATCTTTAAAAGGTGGTGAGCTGGATAGAATATAGTAACTGAAAAATCTGTGCCTGTACGAAGCACCTACTGAATTGATGTTTGATATTTGTAGCCACATACACGCACACACAGTGTTTGATTGTAGTAAAAAAAACCATGACACTTTATTTGAAGTGAGAAAACGAAAAATCAGTTTCTTTCAGTCATCGCACATAGACAAAAAAATTTACAATTCAATAGAATTTTAACTACACTGGAAAAATTGCTACATCATCTGACAAGCACATAATACTATGTTTTGGCTGCACTTAATGGTTCAGCTTTAATTTGTGAGAAATTAATTGATTTATCTACTTCTTCGTCAATTTCTCCAATTAATACCACGTTGTCTCCTCTCACAATATATAAACCCAATAGAACATGTTCGACGCCATCGGTTGATGAAAATACACGTTCATGACTATCATCTAAGATTAAGTTTATTGTTTGATCAAAACCTTTTAATGTTCCAATGATAATACGACCATCGTTTGTAACAATATTCACCGGTTTATTCATAAAACTATCTAACACTTGAGCCATCCTAGAGTAACCGGAATTCAATGAAAGATGATTTTGGTGTTAATAGAATTATCTGAAAGAAAAATCTTACAATTAATGAGCGTTGTAGTAAAATCCATGAAGGAGAAATATCAAATGAATTTATTACTCTAACAAGAAACATTACCGCAATTCAGTAGCATGGCATCAGTAAGATAGCTACGATCACAACATTAACAGACTTTATCGTAACTTCGATTCTCTGATGACAAAAGTTGAAAGCAAAGCTGGCAAAGTCCCAGGGGTCAGGAGCCACTTTTATAAAAAAACTTAAGTGTGATTTTTGACTTAAGTTATACTTAGTTTCTTGCTTAAATTAAGTCATCTATTTAGGTGACTTAATTCTCTAGAAACGTTTGATCATTTCTAAAAGTATTCAAAGTAAAAGTAATTTAAATACAGTTTAAACTAAACTAATTAATTAAAAATGGCAATCGCAGTCCTTGTAGCGGCAAGAACATTGAGAAGGGAACGAATATTTAAAGATAGACAAAATCCTTTGGAAACTATGAGGGATGATATGATTTTGGCACGATGCAGATTTCCAAAAGCGACTATTATTGATTTATTACATCTGATTGAGCCGCAGATAGTTCGTGCTACTCAAAGAAACTTTCTTTGCAGTAAATATCTCAGAGAAAATGTGACTTTGTTCGTACGTACCTGCATAGCTGCACTGACCCTCAGTCAAACCGAGCACAGTTTATGTTTCTAACAGGGAGAAAAAAAGATAGCCGACTTCATCTTTGTTAAGCGCAGAAAGAAGCAGTTGAGTATGACTATCTTCATTTAATGGCTATAAAAAGTAATTTTGCAGCTCGTTTGTCTAAACACCGTCCTTTTGCTTAAACTTAAAAGACTTTCTCAACTACAAGCGGACTAGTTCTAACACCGTTGTTGCAACAGTCCTCTTAGCTTTGTTGTAATAGTTAATTGACGCAAGATGAAAGCATCGTTCGAAACGGCGCTGTGAACCATCATTTTTTACTTTCGCAGTTAATGAAATGCAAATGAAATCAGAGGACTAATAGAAGAAGCTCTGTCTGATGCTCCTTGGAAATCTTTAGGTTCATACACGGTACATACACTGTATTTTCCTTAACGTGATTGAGTCAGTCGTTGCATCCACGAAAATCTTTGATAAAATGAGCGAATTAGTCTTTTAAACCGTCTTATTCAGCAATTCAGCCACTTCATTGCTCTGACAGTGTTATAGAAATACTTAGAAACCATGATAAAAAGCACTCAGCCCTCACATTCTTTCTAATCTGTACGGGTGAGATCTATCACGGTGACGCATTTACCTAGCACTAAATACACTTAAGTCAATTTTTTAACTTGAGTGCTAAGGCCTTGTCCAGACTATACTCTTTTTTCACTTAGGTATTAACTTAAGTCATGTCGAGCACACCACTTAAGTTTGAATTAACTTTTTCAGCCAATACGGTTACGATTTTCTCACTTAACTTCTGTAGTCTGGACAAGGCCTAAGTCACACTTAAGTTACGCTTTATAAAACGCAGTTACGGCAAAACCTAAGTTTTACTTAAGTATGACTTAATGTCAACTTAGTTTTTCGCTTAAGTCGAACTTAAGTTTTTTATAAAAGTGGCTCCAGTTTCTTAAAAAAGCTTAAGTCAAAACTTAAGTGCGTAAACTTCAATGCGTTTTTTAAAAAGGCTTAGATCAGGCAGCAAAAACCATTCGTATTTTAGAGAACTTAAATTATTTTACAGCAATTTTCTGAACAAAATCTCTGAAAAATTATGTTCAGTCTAATTATGATGAGTTGGCTACGGACTTCAAATAAAGAAGTTACAAAATTTAAAATTTAGAGAAAAATTTATCAGTTAGCTAAAAAACTTGACTTAGAACGAATTTTTCACTTAAGTTTTTTTTCCTCTTGCAAATTAACTTTTAAGAAACTGGTCCCAGCTCAAAAGTTTCCAAAGAGAAGAATTTCTGTACAGAGGGCAAGTCTTTTCAAAATGTGCCAATATCTTTGGACACAGGCTTAGACATATACTTACCAACAAAAACTAAAAAACCCAAAATATTTTTAAATCTAATGCTATTCAAAACTGATTAAAACTTACTGTTTATCTAGCAAGAGAAAAAAATCACGCACAAAACATAAAAAAACCAATGGAGATTATTGATTTTACCATTTCTTCCTCGTGCATCGAATAGATAAATGAATTTCAGAAAATGGAAAGGGTAACGGAAATTATGGGGACAAATCATCGAAATGGCGACCTATAGAGGGATCGCTAGCAATCTTAAACTTGGCTTTCTGCTTTCTTTCCGCATTTGTTCCTTTTTTTTCTGAAATGAACGGAAATAATATCAATACAAGTAGATAGTTGTCATTTTTCCAGTGAGGATTGGTCTTACATTCTGTCCCATGTGAGAGAGACAATAGGACTTTACTATTATAAACAGTCAGACTTTCTCATATATCAGATTGTGAGGAAAGTAAACAATATATAAACTAGATGTGCTAATTAATTTTTAAAGATTTTAGGATATTAACTTTGTTGCATATAGATGACGCTATCTACAATGGAGTCCGAGAGAAGTCTCTCTCATCAAAGAGCTTTTTTGTACACAGTGCAACTGAATGAAATGGAAGCCTCAGAGATTGATGGTAAAACACTTCTTCTACACATATTATGATTAAAGTTTCAGCTTGAAATAGTCAATTGTTGAGTTATAGATGGCGTAAGAATTGAGATGAGTCTCTTCGGTACATTTTATGAAGTTTTTTGTGAGCTGGATTTGTTTTAAGTTAGCCTTGCCACTCGAGTGTCGGGTACACTATGCGGATTCATACAGAGTTTTATCACACCTTGATCTGAACTGAAAAAGAATCCTATACTTTTGAAAAAAGACTGATTTAGTTACCCAAGTCAACAAATTCTGTGAAATGATGCTGCAAGATCTTACAAGATCATATTATGTTACAAGATTGCACATGATCGTTCATGTCTTGTAAAAATACAACAAGCTCTTACAAGATTTCATAAGATCATATAAGAATTCATCAGATCTCACAAGATTATGTGCCTCATCTTGTTCTACAGATTCCCTTTACAGACTGTTTCTGTTAAATCTAGCATTTACAGGACTCTCGTCATAGGGATGGTGCTGTATATATACTAGATATCACAGCAAAATTTATATGATAAGGATGAAGCATCGCTCGTGCGAGATCATACAAGATCTTGTGACAAGAAATCATATGATCTTGTGATAAAGGCTATATATGAGTCAACAGTCACGTCTAGACCTGTGCGCCGGTCGGAAAACCGGCGGCAGCGTGTAATAAAAGTTTTCCGACCAGCGGCAGCGGTGGAACCTCATTAAAAGATTTTCCGCCTTCGGCGGTGGCGACTAAAACATATGTTCAGTCGGCGGAGGCTAAAAGATTATTTGCAACTTTGGTCGACAGCGGAGGAGCGCAAACAAATTTGAATACGATACTTACACAACAGGAAATTTGCAAAAGTTTCGGACGCGTTTAAACATCAATTGAAACATTTATCATTACCATGCGTTTTTTCCTTACACAACGTCGAACTTTTTTAATATAACGCATTTCTAAAAAGAACATTTAAAACTGCCTCCAGCGCGTTGGAAAAACGTAGAAACGGTTTCAACGCGTCGAAAATCACTATTTTAAATTGGAAACTCGTAAAAATAAACGCGTTTAAATGCGTTGGGAACTACAAACGTTTCCAACGCGTTAAAAAAGTTCGATGTTGGCTAAGGGAAAAACGCGTGGTAATGATAAATTTTTTAATTGACGCGTTTAAACGCGTCCGAAACTTTTGCAAATTTCTTGCAGTGTAAGATCCCAAAAGATCAGCTTATAAGAAGTGACAAGAAATGCTATAATCTTGCAATATCTTCTAAAATCTTGTCAACGCACAGCTGAACACACAGGATTTCTGAAAAACCTTCTCAGATACTTGAAAAGGTTTTACTATATCCGAAAACTATACAAATTCCGATTATTAAACATTTCAGAGCCACATGTTGATATATTTATCTCGAAAACGAATTTTGCCCAAAAGTACTTCCAGTAAGCGGTATAAAAACACAATAAAAGGGTTATTACTGTGATTCCTAGTCTCGTGGTTATTCAACATTAAGGAATCAGGATATGCAACATTAGAAATGAGTTACCATCTTGTCTCATCAAAATCTTGTTAACGCACAAAACATCCTTAGAGGACCCTTGCTCTGAGTTTTTGTCAAAAAATGTTTTACTTGTAAAACTGGTGGTCATAAATCCCCTTTCGGCAAAAGGTGAAGGTTCTACGAGCTGGGGAAACTTGGGGAAACTCTTTGTACTGACGTGAGTACACATTTTGAAAAAGCAGTATTTATGGAAAAACGTTAAAACTTTGTTTGACTTGAATACATAAGGGAAAATATTTTATTAGTAGTACATAGTCCAAATTTTGCTGATTCCAAATATGTTCTTAGACTGTAGCTAAACTCGAACCTACAGGAAGAAAATTGGCCTTTTCCAGGCAGCTAACGAATTGTAGCGAGATTTTTCCATCTAACTTTTTTCCGTAAGAAAACTGCTTCGAACAGAAATTTTTCTGCCATTGCACCGGTCATTAGTTGAAGTTTATTTAGATTTTCGGCGCCGCCACCGAATTGTTTTGGAGATCCTCGTCGTACAAACTTGTTTTAAATAACAAATAAGTACAGTGCAATAAAAACAGTGTAGCTTTTGTTTCTCTTATTATTTTGATTGAAAATAAAATAAAAAATTTGATGAGATTGGTAATGGATCTTGGCTTAAGCTACACAGCAGAAAATTTGCAAAAGTTTCGGACGCGTTTAAACGCGTCAATTAAAAAATTTATCATTACCACGCGTTTTTCCCTTAGCCAACATCGAACTTTTTTAACGCGTTGGAAACGTTTGTAGTTCCCAACGCATTTAAACGCGTTTATTTTTACGAGTTTCCAATTTAAAATAGTGATTTTCGACGCGTTGAAACCGTTTCTACGTTTTTCCAACGCGCTGGAGGCAGTTTTAAATGTTCTTTAAGAAATGCGTTGGAAGTACAAACGTTTTCAATGCGTTAAAAAAGTTCGACGTTGTGTAAGGGAAAAACGTGTGGTAATGATAAATGTTTCAATTGATGTTTAAACGCGTCCAAAACTTTTGCAAATTTCCTGCTGTGTATGACAAGAAGTTACAAGTTCCGCATGATCTTACACGATCTTGAGACAAGATCTTGTAAGACCATGCAATGTAATCTTGTCACAAGATTTCATAAGAAAATGACAGATATGACATGATCTTGTAAGATAAATTTCACCTGGGCAGAAAGACTGGAAATTTCAAAATGCCTAGTTTTAGGATTTCTGTAAAACCTTCTCGGATACTTGAAAAAGTTTTTACTATATTCGAAAACAATACAAATTCTGATTATTAAACATTTCAGAGCCACATGTTGATATATTTATCTCGAAAACGAATTTTGCCCAAAAGTACTTCCAGTAAGCGGTGTAAAAACACAATAAAAGGGTTATTACCGTAATTCCTAGTCTCGTGATTATTCAACATTAAGGAATCAGGATATTCAACATTAGAAATGAGTCATCATCTTCTGTCTCAAGGCTGTTGATACGGTAGCTATTCATTGTTATTGTAGTTTATTCTCTTTTAACCGTGCTAGTCCGACTCGTATAGACTGAAGCTCTTACTATCCGTGTTATGTGGCTTTATTTTGTTCTGTCTTGAAGAAGGAAATATTTTTAACAAATATAACAAATCGTTTTTGTTTCATTCAATCTATTAGGTGCGAAAGTCATTTAACACATTCATCATGCCTTTCTGTTCTATAGGAGCCAGTTGAGCAGCTATTTATTCATTTAGTACATAGAAACTACCAATAATCTCTAGTAACTAACCACTCGTGAGATTATTCCGATATAGGAATAAGAATGTAAACCTTTTTCATAACATAAATTTTTTAATATTCACTTTCTACAAAAGAGTATATAAAATGAACGATTAATAAGCGAATAGACAGGTCCATATCGGTACTACTGATAATTTACGAAAGTGACAAGGCTACAACCTTCATAGATATCCATGATAAATGCAAAAATATATAAATTATCCTTTTCCTTTTCGTATCTATCATCTATTCCATAAATGACTGATAATAATATCATTTCTGTTTCTTTTCATTTATCTTGAAAACGACTAGATGTGAACGTACGCATTAGAGAAGCATATTCATAACTAGTGAAAAATACAGCAGTTAATATCCAGCACCTTTTTTCTAGTGCAACGTTTGATCATTTTTATTTATTTTATTTTTAAATAGCAATTCAAAATCTCACTGACAACAAGAAAAATCTACTGTTCTAGAAAATACACGCACCTATTTATAAAATAAGATCTAAGTAGATCCGTTCCTGTCTCGCTGTAATGCTAGTGTCTTTGTAGAAGGTACTGAAGTAGATAAGTTCAGATTCCGAGTAGTTTTCGAACGAACTAGCTAGTATTCTACACAAACAAATGTAATTAGTGAAGAACAAGATTTTTAACAATTATCTGAGCTAAACAAACGGAATGTTATGTAAAACTGAACTAAAGTGCAAACGTTGAAGAAATGAGCTGATAGGAGGATATTAGCGAGTTAATAAAACGTTCTGTGTCTCTGTACTGGAATGTTTTTATAATAATGTCCATTGACGTATGCAATACGCTTAATCGTGACTCACATACCATAATGCACATTGTCTATAGAGAATCGCTTAATTATCGTTAATGCGCCTATAACTCAGCTCATAAGTAGAATAATAACTATGCTAGAAAAAAGGCAATGTTTACGATATAACTCCCGAACTATCGCTCGGATAAAATTTCGTTTGCAGAAAGGGAACATCTACATATTATAACAAACATAAAATTTCAAGGAACCACATTGATCGAATGAAGCGTTGATAGAGAAGTGCCTGTGACAAAGTTTGTATTTTGTGCGTTTTTAAATGGTCGATTTTACTAAAATCTTAACCTGGTCTCGAGCTAAATAGCTGCAAGACAAGATAATAATAAAAAACGCTTTATTACAAAAACTATTTTAATAATCAACATAATTTTTATTTCAAACATATTTAATAATATAGTTCAGCTAACATAGAAGTTTCAGGTAATCTAAGCATCACGTGTAATATCTACTAGATGCGCAAAGGTGATGTATTTTTCAACTGATAAAAAAGTTAAATTAATCAAATCAACACTAGCAGTATGCTGTTTCTCTTATTCTTAAAAAAATAATGGTATAATACATATGTAGATTAACAAGAACAAAAATATCAGTAATTTATTTTTCTCTATGGAAAGATAAAAGACAGAAAAAAAAAACCTTCTCTTTTGTTTCATCATTCATATCTTCATTCAGTTTTAACCTAAACATCATTTTAGTAGTGGTTGTCTTTCTCTAAATAAAATCATGCGATTATTATTATTAATATTCGTTTTACAAGTACTCTTTGTCTCATTAACATCGAGTTTATTCTCTGATAAAAAAGTAAAAAATGCACGAAAATATGAATTACAACAAAAAATATTTTCATTTGGTAATTCGTATACAATTAAAGATGATAAAGCTCAACCGGTATATAAAGTTAGTTTTAAAAAATTAGGTCTTGGAAAACATTTAAAATTGACGGATGTATCTTCAAATCGTGAATTATATGGTATTAAACATATTTTAAATCCATTGGGTTTAGCCACATATGAAATAACACAAAATAATAAAACCATCGCTTCTGTTAAACGAAAATTTGCATTAACAAAGAAGTTTTCTGTTAAATCACCAACCGGCGCTTATAAAATTGATGGCAATTTTCGTTCAAGAGAGTTTAATATAAAAAAAGGTAAACAATTGGTGGCACGTATTAGTAAGAAATTTTTTACTCTGTCCGACAAATATGGCGTCGAAATACAAGCAGGAGAAGATCCAGCCTTTATCTGTGCCTTGACAATTGTTATTGATGAAGTTGCACACGGTTAGAAATCATATCGGATATTAAAAACAATACACATGAACAAAATTAATTATTATTAGTATCATTTTTATTAGTTTCGTCTTCTATCTTTATTTTTTAACGGTTTGTAATGTGATTTTTGTTAGTCAAGCAAAAGATGGACGGTTGATGAGCAAACTTCCTTTTGTCAAAAAAAAGACTATTTCAAAATCAATATATGTTAGGTTGGTCAATACTAGGGGTGTGACAGTTCAAGCTCGTGAACTGTGAGTAAATGTAGTAAAGAGCTGGTGACCATCTCCAGCTCCTACTCATGTGAGCTGTTGATCAGCTCCAGCTCCTACTCATGTGAGCTGTTAACCAGCTCCAGCTCCTACTCATGTGAGCTGTTGATCAGCTCCAACAGTTTTATACTCAAAAGAGCT